CCAACTGATATATTTTTTAATGGGATTTAACCAAATTAGGTGTGAACGCGGATTTTATATTTTACTGCAATAATCGGTGACTGGGCTGAGATCATCAACGCATGAGACGTCTGCAAGTTGCAGGGTGGGTCCTGTTCACCGCTGAATCTCGAAACGCGGAAGCAGTAATCATACATTTTTTTTAGAGAAGCATAGCGTCATTGTTTTTAAAGATATTGTACTCATATTCTTGGTTCTTTCGGTAAAGTCACGTAGATATTGTACTCACCGCAGACAACTGTAGTGACACGACCGCATTCTGTGATAGCTGGCGCCAAACTGTGCCACACGCCCCCTCGCATGGCTTTGCAGGAGCCTTGGTACCGATAAATATATTTTATTTTAGTTTTTCTTCCGGTTCGGAAGAAGAAAGAAAAACTGATAACGTACACATACGTCATCAGAATGGGAATGGGTTAAGAACCCTGTTTAATCATGGGCAGCTGCTGAGATTCAAACTCTGCTGTGCCAGCTTAGCGCTCTGACCTCAGCCACCTTTGGCCATCTCTGCTTTAGCTATCTCTCATTCCTGCAGCACCAAGTATAATATTTCCAACTCATGAGCTGCACTCACAGAGATTTGTGTATAAGTGTGTGAACAATGGCAGTGCACACAGAGTGAAAGAGTTTATCGACACGAAAGCCCTGCACGACACAAAAAAGGCAATTCCAGAAAATGTGCATCTGAGTTCACTTCTGCGCTTTAAATAACACGACGACGCATGCAGATCGCTCAAGGTGGCCAAAGATGGTGCCACCGACAACGGCAAAGGGTGACGCCTATCGAAAAAAAGATTAACGAGACGGCGATGACACTCAACAAGGAACGGGCGTCGCGCTCGGAGCGAGCGGTGAAACAGCATCATCATCATCATGCACCACCCTCAACCAAAAAAAAAATGTTCCGCCGGTTGAAAAGCGCAGCAGTAAGTCTGCATGTGTCGCCAACGTCTATCGGGCTCCCTTAGCAAGCCGAGCAGACTTAAGCAGCAACTATCAAGCGCGCTGCGATGTATCGTCTGTCACCCCCCCCACCCACCCACCCCTGCCCACACGAGTGAGTACGAACAGCACGCGCACGTGACAGCTGCTCCCAGCGGAATCAAATCGGAACCGCGCACCGCAGTTGCACAAAAACCAGACGCGGGCACAAGGAAGCACATTTTTTTTCTCTCAAACTCAGGTACGCAGCACACGGCTTGGCTCTCGGAAACGCGAGAGCATGTCAGGGAATCAAAGGCGGGGCGTGTTTGTTGAAGGTAATAACCTCGTATTGTTCTTTGCCTCATTGTAAAAATACATTGCCATGTACATCTTGGAAGGAAAGCAATTAAATCGCGGCATTTCCTAGAAAAAACATTCGTGGCAGAATTCCTGGATGTATACCTTCCTCTGTGGCCATTGTTTCAGAGGTTTTGAGAACCGGGTCGTTATTTTGGATATGGAAAACGGCTTCTGAAGTGTGGAAATTCTACATGTCAAATTTAAATAATGCACGCACACGTGTCCGTATTGCATACACATTAATCAGCTATCTGCATGAAGAAGACGTGTCAGCGGAAAAGCTGAAATGTTCCATGAACGAACGTTAAAACGTATTTTTAAAAAATGATAGCAATCAAGCTGTTGAAAAGCTACGAGCTTGTGCTCGGTGCACAACTGCCGTGTAGATTGTGCGTATAATTCTTTGCAACACTTAAATCAGTCGTGGAATTCATAGATTTTGGCATCTCGGGCTCTGAATGCAACGTTGCCTGCTGTACCGATTACGTGCATTCCATGTCTGTTTGTTCTAATTATTATTTCCCCTGTAGGATAACGTTCCCCCCCATCCCCCACCCTGTAAATTGTCGCAATCATGGATAAGGCAGTCATGACTGATGGATTCAGTTTGGGAGGGTTCGAGAATGGGGAAGAAAGGAGTACACAATTTCCTTCTCCCCCAGCCACCCCCAGTGTCATGGGTTAAAAGGATTTAGCAACAACAACAAAAATGCACAGAAATGTGAATCGAGCGAATCTGCCAAGTCTTCTTGTACTGTGGCACAGACTATGAAACATATCGCGCGTAAAATTGCACGGTTTGAAACCGGGGTGAAGGGATAACATGGAAGTATATGAAGATGATGTGAAAAATACCCCCCCAAAAATACAATTCTATCAACACATCCAGGCAGCAAATTATCCCTCCCCCCCCCCCCCCCCCAGTCTCTTCTCAAATTAAGGAAGCCAGAATCTTGCCAACGTGAGTTCATGATCCAGGATGGCTGAGATAATCCTATTCAAGTAGGAAAACACTCCAAGTAAAAAAATACGAAGAATAAATTACTGCTTAAATAAATACATACGCCTAATCACCTAAATTTATCCACTGCTGTGATGCACAGTTGGTATGCTGATGCCAAGATCTAGAAATACTTTTTTTTAAAAAATTCAGTGTTTTGTAAAGCAATATAATTTCTTCATGTCCTGTGCAAAGAGGAGGGGGTGGAGGGTTACAATGGAAAGTGCAGTGTGGAAAAATAAAAACTGAAGAAAAAAATATGTAGCCATAAATTGTAAAGCCAACTGTATATGGCATGAGCCAAAGTGTAGCAATATATCTTGGCAAAGATCTTGTGACAAGAGCAGTAGGTTGTGAAGGTGTCTGTGTGTGTAGTGCATGTGGAGCAATATTTGTCCACTTCATAGTCGCACCGCCATCAGAATTGTCCTTATCTAAATAAATAAAGTAGTACCATCAGCGGTATCATTTATTTAACCAGGAGGTGAAGTATACATGTCGATTCCTTCCAGCATATGTGTTTATAGATGGTCAGCTGTGAAGATTTTAAACATAGCACTCGGAGTTTGAAAGCGGTTGTTTTCTGGAAACCAACGGCAACGCACGGCAATTGTGCAAATTTTGTGAGCAGAAATTCTATGCGTAGAGAGAGAGAGGGAGAGAAAAAAAACGAACGAAGAGGGAACATTAATCACGCTTGCCTGCTTACCGTGACACGGAATGAGACGGGATACGCTGCACTGTGGCAAACCGAACGGGGTCTGACCCAGCGTGACAGAAAGTTGCGACGAAAAAATACAAATCACAAGAAGCACAATTGCATTTTGCCAACGGGAGGAATGTCCCTTGGCAACGGAGCAAAAAGCGCACCTAACACGAGGCAGAGAGAGAGAGCGAGAGAGAGGCGAGAAGCGATCTCTCCTCTCTCTATGTCTGGCGTCGATCAGATTTACAATGCCACGTGCGTGCATCGTGTGACTGGGTGCAGGCGGTGGGGGGTGGAGGGCGCATTGCACAAGTTTTGGACTTCTCTCGATGGAAACAAAAAAAAACAAAATCTAAGCACCTTCATTATTACCACTGCCCTTGTAACTTCACATGCACGGAAGGTAAATGCATCAGGCGATGGAACTTCTACACAACGAGAAGGCTACGGCCTGACTCTCTTCAGAGCAGGCGAATGCTTTAAACGGCAGGCTACTTAAACGATGTTTATCTGTTATAAGGCAGTGCTCATGACAAAGGTGGTTGGAATTTGTTCCAGCGTGTGTGCTTTATACCACTGTCAACGCAGTGCTTAATTTTAACGTTTCACAAAATGCGTTTGCTGTTTGGCAGCCTCCACTGTCGTTGCATTGCAATTAAAAAAAACACCGCAATGCGCTCCTGAACGGATTTCTAAATTAATCCACACGCACTACGCGAGCATCTGTCTCCAGCCAGAGTCACTTGTCTCCAGCCAGAGTCATCTGTCTCCAGCCAGAGTCACTTGTCTCCAGCCAGAGTCATCTGTCTCCAGCCAGAGTCATCTGTCTCTAGCCAGAGTCATCTGTCTCCAGCCAGAGTCATCTGTCTCCAGCCAGAGTCATATGTCTCCAGCCAGAGTCATCTGTCTCCAGCCAGAGTCATCTGTCTCCAGGCAGAGTCACTTGTCTCCAGCCAGAGTCATCTGTCTCCAGCCAGAGTCATCTGTCTCCAGCCAGAGTCACTTGTCTCCAGGCAGAGTCACTAGTCTCCAGCCAGAGTCATCTGTCTCTAGCCAGAGTCACTTGTCTCCAGGCAGAGTCACTTGTCTCCAGCCAGAGTCACCAGTCTCCAGCCAGAGTCACTTGTCTCCAGCCAGAGTCATCTGTCTCCAGCCAGAGTCATCTGTCTCTAGCCAGAGTCATCTGTCTCCAGCCAGAGTCATCTGTCTCCAGCCAGAGTCATCTGTCTCCAGCCAGAGTCATCTGTCTCCAGCCAGAGTCATCTGTCTCCAGCTAGAGTCATCTGTCTCTAGCCAGAGTCACTAGTCTCCAGCCAGAGTCATCTGTCTCCAGCCAGAGTCACTTGTCTCCAGGCAGAGTCATCTGTCTCTAGCCAGAGTCACTTGTCTCCAGCCAGAGTCATCTGTCTCCAGCCAGAGTCATCTGTCTCCAGGCAGTGTCATCTGTCTCCAGCCAGAGTCACCTGTCTCCAGCCAGAGTCACTTGTCTCCAGCCAGAGTCACTTGTCTCCAGCCAGAGTCATCTGTCTCCAGGCAGAGTCATCTGTCTCCAGCCAGAGTCATCTGTCTCCAGCCAGAGTCATCTGTCTCCAGCCAGAGTCACTTGTCTCCAGCCAGAGTCATCTGTCTCCAGCCAGAGTCATCTGTCTCCAGCCAGAGTCATCTGTCTCCAGCCAGAGTCACTTGTCTCCAGCCAGAGTCATCTGTCTCCAGGCAGAGTCATCTGTCTCCAGCCAGAGTCATCTGTCTCCAGCCAGAGTCATATGTCTCCAGCCAGAGTCATCTGTCTCCAGCCAGAGTCATCTGTCTCCAGCCAGGGTGACGAGTGCACCACTGGCTGCTCGAAGCGAAAACGAAGTGTGGGGAGAAGGTGGTGGTGGTGGTTGTGGTTGGGTGGATGGGGTGCAGGGCGGGGGGAGTGAACAAGCTTGCGGGCGGTGAGAATGGGGGGGTGGGGTCGGCGAGTGTCACCTGCAGCGGAGCCAGGCAGAGGAGCGCCAGCCAGGGTAGGCAGCGGAGCTGCGGGGCCGATGTCGTCCGCACAGGGGCAGCCATTCCAGTCCCGAGCACGCGCTCGGAGGGGGCGGTGGTGCACCTCGCTCTGTGGACAGCACGTCCACCGATAATTAAATAGCAGCGCCTCGTTTGCGGCTGGCACCCGGGCCAGGGGAGGCTGCGCGCCACGAGGGGGAGAGATAACAACAACAGCAACAACAGCAACAACAAAACCGTTCGAGCTTGTCGGCGACCTCACCTACGCTGGACGCAGGCGGTTGTCTCTCGGTCAGCTGGTAGTTTTAATAATTATGGTAAGCAGAGTCGTACACGCGTGTGTATATATGTATATATAATTGATTGATTCAATCAGCGGGTATCAGCACTCTTCTTCAGGAGAGTCCTGGATGGGAAGATTGGCCAATCGTTCGATAGGCATCTTATGCAAGTGGGAGAAAATCCCATGCACCCAAAGAAACCCAATGCGACATGTCTGGAGGTAACTTAACAAATCTGCATTGAGAGATCAGCTGCCTACCTGCTGTACTGCCATCTACTGGGCACTATATGAGCCCTACACACGAGTGTCTGACGCACGTGAAGATCCCTGAATGATCCATCAACCCCACCTCCAGAGTGCTGGAGTATGCCCAAAACCTGTTGACTGGATGACATGCATGGCTGGAACGTGTGTAGCGAGACCTGAGGCTGAATCTCCATACCACTGAACCACACTAAAATGTGAACAATAGCTAATCTGGCATTATATCCTGGATGAAGGCATCACCACGCAAAGTCAGTGGTGGGGGGCCGGATGACCATGCTTCACCACGTTGGTTAGTGAGGGTTGGTGAATGGATGGGGTCCAGGAGCGACTTAGCCATCACTCACCACAGGTATTATCCGTGGCCAGGAATTTTACTGAGACGGCCAAATTCTGTGGCGCACAGTGCACAAATAAATAAGTACACCACTACTCCCCTAAACCTACTGTCATCATGATGCAGTCTTGATCGGTCCACTGTGCAGATGAGGGAACGAAATCAGCTCTTGTACAGGTGCAAGATGGACCGGTGTAACCTACTTTACACAGACTTCATGATTGCAGTCAGTACCATATATAGGAACAACTCTATGAGACACAATTGGCACATCCCTTGCGTGATGCGATTGCATCATAAGTGATCTACCAGTAACGGATGCACTCACTGCATACAACCGTGTACCTGACCCTGCAAGTAAAAAAACAGTCTCTTAGAGCGTACTTGTGTTTCCTCATTTCACATTAACCCCAGGTGACACGGGCAAGGCTACACGGGGAGGGCTGGTTGACTCCCCATAGAAGCTATGTCCTCTCGCGAGCCATTAAATGTGCCCTCATGAACCCCTCCCCCTCCCCGGCATGTCTCTGGGATTAGTGTTGACGAATGAAGAAGCGCGCAACTGGTGATGGTAGTCAAAACGCAGTCCCCACTCTGCCATCCCTCCTGCCTGCGAAGCGAGGCTTATTGCTCTCCAGACGCCCGTCGCATCGGCAACACGTGGCATTAGCAGGCTTTGACAATTCGTACGTAACAGCCTTATAAACTGACTGCGCTCAAGCACAAATCGCCCGGATTGCGCCCGATCTCGTCAGATGTCTTAAAGCTCAGCAGGCGCAGTGCCTGGATAGTGCTTGGATTAGGCGATTACTTTGCACGGGACGTAGGTGCAGTGTGGGGGTGGTAGTGCGCAGTGCAGCAAATACACATCGTTCTACAACCCCCCCATCGCCACCAAATCGAAACCACACTGAACAGCGTGGTGAAGTATGGACAAATGTCTCGACATGGTTAGCAATGCAGTTGATTGACAACACGGGCTGTGCATGCAACACGCACAAGCAATTTTACGGCATGGGTGGGCTTTAGACAACAATAAGTTACGTGCAAAGTTGCGTACAACTTGCGTACTACTTTGCACGTACAACTAAGTTCTGAGCGCAGTCAGAACTTATTTCTTGGGTGTGTTTTCAGTTTGCTGTCCTTCCACCGCGCAACTCCGATGAGCGCGGTCGGCAACGTACGGCGCGAAGGAAGTCCAACGTACACACGCAAATACGACGGCTCTAACATGCTAACGTGCGTGTGCGTTGCGCACAATCCCACTTAGCGGTCGAGATAGGTCCGGCATCGAAGAAGCACGTGGTTGGGCGGCAGGGGTAAGTGGGTGGCCAATTGATTCATAGCGGCTCACGCACGCAATTGGGCTCTGGAATACGATCGCAGAAGCACGGGGGAGAGGCTGTGCTGGTGGGAGGGGGGGGGGGGCACGGAGTGAGAGCACGAGTACAGAATGCTCGGCGTACACCGAGGACTGTATAATTGACCCGATGATGGAGGTGAACCCGACTCGGCGTCGCAGCCTGGGCTATATCGGTCGCGTTGAGTTCTGACGGATGGCTTCGAAATCGGCGGGAGTCCCCACGTGGAGCGGTCAGGTTGCTGGCGACGTCGAGTGGGTTCAACAACTTGGACGGCAGCGTCGCCAAGTGCGTTGAGGTTGTCACGGCTCGTGGTGAATCACACCGATAAGGCGTCTCGCCGTTACCGTTGAAATATTGTCAAACGGTCATGTTTAAAATGCGCTTCGTGAAGTTTTGACAGCGAACGAGAACGGCTATCATCGGCTACCTAAGGATCACAATAGTTCGTTACACATTACATAACACGTATCATTACACCATCCACGCTGCAGCACGGCATCACTTGCATCACGGCATCACTCCCGATACCATGACCCCGATGCAAGTTACGCAGGGCGTGCAGTTTGCCTTGGCGGTCTCTCGCAGCGCAAGCCTTTCTCTCGCTCTCTCGGAAGGCTGCCGCAGATTTCTCGAGCGCCTCGAGGGGACCACATCTCTCACACGCGAGGCGCACGGCACATGACAGCCGAGACACGGGGCAACGCGGACTTGCAGCGGAGCTCTCCGAGTGTCAATTCTCGTAGGAGGAGCCACTCCAAAACGCAGCAGCGGCGGCAGCCCGCAGCGGGCACACCGCACATCTGCAAGCGCTTGGTGTGCACGGGGCGTGGGAGTTGCAGAGGGTTTGTGGAGTCGCACAACCACGGCGCTCCAATGAGCTCTGTAATTAGAGCGACGCGTTAATAGCGGCGCATCTCTCGCGACCTGGCAGGGTGGCGGCTGCAGCGAGTTGAGTGCGCGCGCCGATTTACGGACGGGTTGATAATTGAAGCCACCGCCGATTTTAACGGAGGGAGGATGGGTCGAGGTCGGATTGGTTGAAAAGAGGAATTTCCTGATCGCACCCCTCGGGTTTGTCGATAACGTCCCCATGCAGCACAAGTACCGCTGTGCCACTACGTGGTAATTGTTTTGTATGGAGTTACTAAGCTCTCGTCACGTGAATGGGGGATTTCCACCACCGGATCAAAGCCGCCGACTGAGATGAGTGCTTTCCAACACTGGCCTGGATCATTCAGATGTCTTCTTCTTTAATTTAACAAAATACGAGGACATTGTAACTTCGTATAACAGGCACGTTGACGTCGTCTCAAAGAGCTTAACCGGTCCTGGTCTGCCCCCTTAAACCCGCAAACTGACCAACGTGATGAAGTATGGTCAAGCAACCCCCGACGACCGACACAGCATGGGGGAATTTATTCACTCAGCTGCGAATTAACGAACGCTTGTAAACTGTTGTTAAAATTATAATGTAATAGCCCTAACTCTTGGAAAAAAAAGAATCCGACACACGGGTAATTCCGCTGCTGCTGCTGCTGCGTGTGTGTCTCTCTGCTCATAAGCTGGCGCATGCCATTTCATAGGCGCTCGCTCAAAATTCAAAACACATGGACACGCACAAGCCTTAAAGTTCTAACCCCCACGTAATTGAGTTAAGTATATATTGAATGGCTTTTTTCTGCGGTATGCTTGCTGCTTGCGCTCTTGGTTAACCTTACGGTAAACGGCACTTTTTTTGAGAGAGAGAGGGGGGGGGGGCGGACGGAACGGGCGTGCATGTCACACAGGATAAGCCCTCCGGAGTTCACTTATCACGATACGAACGGCAGCGATTGTTGCCACCGTGTAGCCTTGCAAGCGGACACGCTCCCGCTATTGCGACGCGCAGCAGCGGCACAGTGGAAGCTTTGTATTTTGCCTTGGCATTTACGAATATATCTTTATTGACTCTATAGCCTTTTTATAACTAAACGTTTTCAGACGCTCGGAGCGCGTTTGCGTTGCCGCTGCCGTTAGCAATATTTGGCAGCGCTTTTGTTAAGTCTACTGCTGGATGAAGGCCTGCCCCGCTCCGTTATTGGTAAACGGGGCTCTTTCTTTTGACCATACTTCACCACGTTGGTCACTGCCGGTTGGGCGGGGGGGATGCACGGAGGGGGTGCCCAGAATATAGTGGAAAGGTCCTACCACTGATGCTATCCGTGAACGGGACTCGAACTCAGCCCTCCGGGTTAGTGCAAGTGTGCCAACCAGCGTGCCATCGCTCTGCATTGCTCGTTCAATCTTAAAGCAAACATTTGTCTTTTACTATGATAGCAAAACCAAGCTGAGGATCATTGACTTCAGTTTCAATAATAATAATAATAATCATCATCATCAAATCAATTCATTATATGAGATAAAAGTTTTACTCACCGATAACCCAGACAGCGCAGGCAGTAATCAAACTGTCACTCAAGCGCTGGAAAAGAGGAGACCTCTTCGGTGCGGCGGTACAAACTGCATCCAGCCTCCAGGCAAGGTGATGAGATGATCGGGCAAGGTAACAGCAGCCTCGGTACCCAACCGCAATAGCAACAATAAACCGCCCACCCCCCCTAACTCAACCACCACCCCCCCACACACACACACACACGACGCACACGCGCCCTGCGAGCACAGCAAGAGGGCGCTCCGCGTGTGCGCGCGTGCGTCTCTGTGTGCACGCGGCACGGTTGAGTGTGTGTCTATAGACTGGAGAAAGTACACACACAGGCGCACGTGTGTGTGTGTGAGTGTGTGCGCGCGCTGCCGGCTTTTAAGCCACAAAACAGCGGCGTTGCGTGCGCGCGTGTGCTGAGTTCCACCCGCGCGCGGCACGCAACGAACTCTCATCAGCCGGAAAGGAAAGTGAAATATATATGTGTGTGTGTGTAGGGGAGGGGACATTGGGGGGGGGGGGGGGGGGGTCCTGGTGTTGGGTAGCGAACCGGGGAGGAAGGCGGGGGTGTAATACTCTCCCCCCACTCCTCCATTACACCCCATCCTCTCTTTCTTTAACATTGTCTCTCATTTGTGTTTATATTTGAACGTTTGGGTGTTTTTTCCTCTCTCTTTCTCGTGCAGCCAGACTACCTCTCTGCTTGTTTTTGTTGTTGTTTCTCTCTCCTCTTACTTTTCAATTTCCCGGTGGGTTTCGTCCTTCACGAATAAAGTTGTCGGATTGAGGTTTTTTTTTGCGACTACGCCTCACGTAATTCCCTGTGTGCGCAAAAAGACTTAGGAATTGGCAAAGCGATCTAAATGTGCATGGGGTTTCGGGAGAAAGAAAAAAAATCATTGTCACTCAGTGATCACGGTGGAGGCCTCCCCCCTCGAACGTTGTAACGGATAGGTTCGATACCCATCCTTCGGCCAAAGGGCCAACTCAGGTAAAGGACATTAATTCATACATTGTTCATGTATTCCACGGTATCTGTTCCACTTTATACTTTCATAAATCCGGTAGCAGCCGGGTAGAATTACATTGTAAACAGAGATCAAATGAATAACGCCCAACATCCAAAACGTCAGCTCACTACATAACGTGTTTTGCGTTCACAAAGATGACAATGCTGAGGTTTGCACTGTATACATTTCCGTCCCTTCGCAAGCTGCTCATTGCACACATAGCCTGCTCCTTTGGAGTGCGTCAAGCGGTGTCATTGTTAACGCTCTTCACCATGTCTGTGTTTTTTTTCTTATTCTACATTTTATATCTGACACTACCAAACTGATAATAATCTGCGACCTCTTTTTCGTACGTATATATTCCCCCCCTCCTCCCTGGCAAAGGGTGCTATTGCGGACACGGGACCAACAGCAGTTGTTTCACATTGCAGAGTTCACAACTCTGATCTGTGGCTGGAAATTACGAATAGTTGTTTTTAAACCATGCCTGTGCATTTTCACGGGGTTATCCTTTCTTTGCAACCGTTTGCCATTTGAACGTACCGTAGAGTCAGATCAGAGGGCAACGCCTTCTCTTCCGAGAACCCAAATGCACGAGTTCGAGTCCCAGCCTCGGTTCAAAGGGCTGCTTGTTCGAGAACGCGTGCTTGCGTTTTCGGAGTCCGTGACGCTATTGGCAAAGAGTTATTGGTGTGTGCGTCAGTGTACTCCCATTCTAACTGGCCACAATCGTCGCGTGGCAAGCCAACATGTGTTCAAAGCAAGGTGCTTAGTAACAAAAAGGCGACGACGGTCGTAGCATTTATTGTAATTCGAACCGTAGGTCCCCCAATAAAACCGACGAAATTATCGCGTAAAGGATAAACACAGCGAATACATACGTGAGAAGTAAATCATGTGGAGTGCAGGCATAGAGTGCAGAGCGGGGGGATGTTAGGAGGACAGTCCTTTGTTGTGACATTTAATTGCCGAGGTGGGTGCAGTATAATTCAACAAACTTCACATTCTGGAAAATATTAAAGGCCAGTTTCACGTTGATATTGTGACACTGTATCTTTCACCCACGTTTACGTGAAGCGACTAGCGCCGTGCATGCATGCTGAGACGCAGCATCACGCCCTCACACGCTACGCATTGAGACACAGAGTGAACTTGACCCCGGGTTCACACGCGAACTGCCATTAGGGCGGCACGCGTGGTATTTTAAGGGACACCATATACTACGCACGCACACACGGCGCGGTGGTGAGTGAGTGGGACTGCCCCAGGTTCGAGTCTCGACCGAGGCTCACAACAGAGACAAGTGATGTTTTTAACCGGTCTTACTAATCAACCCTCCCCGCACCCCTCTCTCCATTGACCAGCGTGGTAAAGTATGGTCAAGCAACCCCGCACGACCTACAACACGGAGTGGGGGACACTCGCGCACAGCGGAGGACTCTCAGAGACAATTCATAATGTTATGCATCCACCCACAGCAGCACACGCCGCAACACCGCAGCTATTGTGCAGCCTCCTCGTCTTCTCGGTTCAAACTCAGCTGAAAGAAATCGTGGAGGAGAAAAAAAATGGTAGTCCGTACACCCATCGAGATGGGGCCATCAATTCGCAGCTTTGTTTAAGAAAGTCTGTTTTTCATCCGCGCCCGTCCAGCCATTAGCGACTCTATATATACACGTGGGCTGTAAAAATGCGAACGTCTCGTTGTTTTGTCTCGCAGGGCTGCTGCACGAAGCGCGTAAAGCCAGAGGGGTGGTTAACTTCTAAGCGCCTTGCGAACACTGTTTGTGGAACACCGGAGGAGGGGCAACGAACCATCATCATCATCATCCTCCTCCACACTCCCGCAACAACTGCGGGATACTGGCGCCCCCTACCGGAGATATGGTGCAGTGCCACTCCGTTGGGAAACATGCCAGGATTCCCGTGTTTTTTTTTTTATGTAATTCGTTTACAACTGTGGAATACTGGCTCCCCCTGCGAGAGATGCTGTGCAGTGCCACACTGCACCGCGAAAGACGCAATATTCCAGAATTCCCGATTTGATGTATTTATATTTACTGGGTGTTTTCCCAGGAAAGCTCTTGCTGTGTTCTATCGAACAACCACCGTTGGCATCAAACAAGCTGTTACTTATTCTTGGTTCTTTCGGTAAAGTCACGTAGAAGGGAAACAATAAAATAATAATAAAGTGTATTGTTTCATATTTTTATTATTTTATTGTTTCCCTTCTACGTGACTTTACCGAAAGAACCAAGAATATAAGCTGTTACTTATTTCATTAATACCCCACCAATTGCTTAAGTCAAGCTCCAACGTGAATTTGAACCAGTAACCTCATTGAGTGGAGCACTTTACCCACAACATCAATCCAGATATGGAAACATTTCAATACTACCTGGCTTGCTACGATGCTGTACAGATAATTCATGCCAGCTCGTACTACGGATGGGTTGACTCTTTTTTTAAACTATGGTAGAAAGAAATGCACTGCATGAGTGATCTGATGCCTCGTTAGCCTTAAAACCTCATTGAATTCGGATGTTGAGCATTTATGGGTGTGTTTATGTACCTAGGTAACACTTAGGTACATACATAGCACAACAGATGTACGCTTCATTTGGATTAGAACAAACCGTGCACGATGACAACCACTCAAGTGGTCGCTGTGATTGACAGACTGACTCACTAATGGACAAGTGAAGTTTCTTATTAACCAGATAAAACAATAATTGAAAAGGGTTATCTTTTTTGGGGCTGGAGTAAGGCATGTTTTTACTATGCAGATCAGAAAGCTGGTCATCACAAAGCAACTGCAAAATAAGTATATGATCATTGGAACAGACACATGGAGAGGATGTTAGGGATTTCAAGGAACGATAGGGTAAACAGCTTAGTACAATATGGAAAGTCTGTGATGTAATCAGGAAGAGGAGATTGTGATGGATGAGACGTGCACAAAGGACGGTGGAGGGCAGGTTACAGAGACGTTAATCGCAGTAGCCATAGAGGTCCGTAACCAAGGGAAAGATCTAAGGCCACATGGTTGGAAGCTGTGAGAGCAGATCTTGGAGATGGGGTGTTGACGTTACAACAACGATGGGATCCAGCAGAAGAAAGTTGTGACGGCGAGGTGCAGAGGTCCAGTGAGGGAAAAAAGTATTTGATCCCCTGCTGATTTTTTACGTTTGCCCACTGACAAATAAATGATCAGTCACTAATTTTAATGGTAGGTTTATTTGAACAGTGAGAGACAGAATAACAACAAGAAAATCCAGAAAAACGCATGTCAAAAATGTTATAAATTGATTTTCATTTTAACGAGGAAAATAAGTATTTGACCCCCTCTCAATCAGAAAGATTTCTGGCTCCCAGGTGTCTTTTATACAGGTAACGAACTGAGATTAGGAGCACACTCTTAAAGGGAGTGCTCCTAATCTCAGCTGGTTACCTGTATAAAAGACACCTGTCCACAGAAGCAATCAATCAGATTACAAACTCTCCACCATGGCCAAGACCAAAGAGTTCTCCAAGGATGTCAGGGACAAGATTGTAGACCTACACAAGGCTGATGGACTACAAGACCATTGCCAAGCAGCTTGGTGAGAAGGTGACAACTGTTGGTGCGATTATTCGCAAATGGAAGAAACACAAAGAACTGTCAATCTCCCTCGGCCTGGGGCTCCATGCAAGATCTCACCTCGTGGACTTGCAATGATCATGAGAACGGTGAGGAATCAGCCCAGAACTACACTGGAGGATCTTGTCAATGATCTCAAGGCAGCTGGGACCATAGTCACCAAGAAAACAATTGGTAACACACTACGCCGTGAAGGACTGAAATCCTGCAGCGCCCGCAAGGTCCCCCTGCTCAAGAAAGCACATATACATGCCCGTCTGAAGTTTGCCAATGAACATCTGAATGATTCAGAGGACAACTGGGTGAAACTGTTGTGGTCAGATGAGACCAAAATGGAGCTCTTTGGCATCAATTCAACTCGCCGTGTTTGGAGGAGGAGGAATGCTGCCATGACCCCAAGAACACCATCCCCACCGTCAAACATGGAGGTGGAAACATTATGCTTTAGGGGTGTTTTTCTGCTAAGGGGACAGGACAACTTCACCACATCAAAGGGACGATGGACGGAGCCATGTTCCGTCAAATCTTGGGTGAGAACCTCCTTCCCTCAGCCAGGGCATTGAAAATGGGTCGTGGATGGATATTCCAGCATGACAATGACCCAAAACACATGGCCAAGGCAACAAAGGAGTGGCTCAAGAAGAAGCACATCAAGGTTCTGGAGTGGCCTAGCCAGTCTCCAGAACTTAATCCCATAGGAAATCTGTGGAGGGAGCTGAAGGTTCGAGTTGCCAAACGTCAGGCTCGAAACCTTAATGACTTGGAGAAGATCTGCAAAGAGGAGTGGGACAAAATCCCTCCTGAGATGTGTGC